TGCGTTCCTTCTGCTGCTGCTGCTGCAATGGCAATGCTACTGCTGCTGCTGCTGCTGCAGCAGCCAGCTAGAAGTCAAACAGATCAACAGCAAAGGAAGTGTCGTTCGAGCCAGTTTCCCATTCGTCGTTTGCTGCTGTTGCTGCTGCTGCGCGGCCGCGCTGCTGCTGCTTGCGTTCCTTCTGCTGCTGCTGCTGCTGCCGTGGTGGTGGAGCAGCCGCAGCAGCAGCAGCAGCAGCGGGCGACTCGCCCTGCGACTCGAGAGAGGAAGGGCTCCATATGTCCGCCATGTCCACTTGCTGCTGCTGCTGCTGCTGTTGCTGCTGCTGCTGTTGCTGCTGCTGCTGACCGCCCGATGCTTTTGCTGCAGTAAGCTTCGACTTCTTTGCAGCAGCTGCTGCACTTTCTGTCAGTTTTGCTGCTACAGTCCCTACATGCTTGCTGCTGCTGCTGCTGCTGCTGCTGCTGCGCTGCAGCTGCTGCTTCTTCTGTCTTTCATTCGGGGGCTGTGGCTCTTGCTCGTTGCTTCTACGTGCTCCCTGCTGCTGCTGCTGCTGCTCTTGCTGCTGCTGCTGCTCACGTACTTGCTTGCGTGCGGCAGTCCTCTGTTGCTTCTTCTGTTGTTGCAGCTGTTGCTGCTTCTGCTGCTGCCGGCGTTGCTGCTTCCTTTCAAGCCGCTGTTGCTGCTGCTGCTCCTGCTGCTTCTGCTGCTGGTCTTCGTTTTCGGACTCGTGAGGCTGCTGCACCTCACTTTGTTCGCGTTGCTGCTGCAGCAGCTGCTGCTGCTCTGCTCTCTCATCGTTGTCTTGCTGCTGCTGCTGCTTCCCTTGCAGCGGCTGGCGCTGCTGCTGTTCTTCACGCTGCTGCTGCAAGTGCTGCTGCTGTTCTTCTTGCTGCTGCTGTTCTTCGTGCTGCTGCTGTTCTTCTTGCTGCTGCTGTTCTTCTTGCTGCTGCTGTTGCTGCTCTGTTCGGCCTTCCTTCAGATTCCTTGGCTCGCGTTCAGGTTGCTCTTCCTGCTGCTGTTCGTGGTGCTGCTGCTGCTGCCGTTGCAGCGGCTGCTGCTGTTGCAGCGGCTGCTGCTGCTGCTGCTGCTGCTGCTGTTTTCGAACTCCCGGTTGCAAGGCGCTGCTGCTGCTCTCCGCCGTGTTTGCTGCAGCTGCTGCTGCTCCTAGTAATCCGCTGGTGCTGCCTCGCCTAGCTGCGGCAGCAGCACCAGTTGCTGCTGCTGAGGGCAGCAGCAGCTGAGCAGCAGCAGCAGCCGCAGCGTCTGCCGACGGTGGCTGCGCTGCTGCTGCTGTTGAGTTGGCTCCTCTGCTGCCTCTTGCATTCCTGCTGCTGCTGCTGCTTGCGTTTGCAGCAGCAAGGTGTCCTGTAGCTGTTTCACTGCTGCTGCTGCTGCTGCTTTTGTTTCGAATAGCAGCAGCAGCTAGCAGCAGCTTCTGCTCTTCGCTGCCGTTCCAGTTGCTGCTGCATTCCTTGAGGTCCTCACTCAGGTGTCTCTGCAGCAGCAGCAAGTTTTGCTGCGAGAGGAAGCGGCGCTGTAGCAGCGGCGCAGCAGCAGCAAACCAGCTGCTGCTGCTGCTGCTGCTGCCCAGCAGCTGCCGGGCCCGCCTTTGAGTCTTCCGTGTTGCTGCTGCTGCTTCCCGAAGCGCCTGAATCAGCTGCTGCTGCTGCTGCGGCGTCAGCAGCACGCCGAGCCGCTGAGTTGCTGCTGCCATGAACAGCGTCATATCTTGCTGCACTTGCTGCGCTGTCTCTGCTGCAGCAGCAGCAGGAGCACCAGTTGTTGCTGCTGCCGCTGCTGCTTCCTCCAACGGCTCCAGCAGCCGCAGCGCATGCATCTGCCGCAGAGCCTGCAGCAGCAGCTGCAGCAGCAGAGGAAATGCCTCCCGCTTGAGCTGCAGCAGGAAAGCAAGAGCTTGCTGCTGCAGCAGCTGCTGCGGGTGCAGCAGCAGCAGCAGCAGAGCAGCACCCAGGCCGCAGCTCCACAGCGAGACGCTGCAGCTGTGCCGAATGAGAAGGCAGCAGTACTCCCCCAGCTCTGTTGCGAGTTGCTGCTGCAGCACACCCTGCCGCTGCTGCTGCTGCTGCTGCTGCTGCTGAGAGAGACAGAGAGACAAAAAGCTGGCTACCCCTTCATCCCCAACAGCAGCAAACAAGAGGCTCGAGATTCCGTCTTTGCTTTGATCCAGTGCAAGCGTGCCTTTTGCTGCTGCTGATGCTGCAGCAGCAGCGACGTCTGCTGCTGCTGCCCCTCCTCGCTGCTGCCGCTGCTGCTGCTGCTGCTGCTGCTGGGGGGCTGTGATGGTGACAAAGGCCTCAACTAGTGCCCGCTGCTCTGCTGCAGAATAGACATACGGAGATGCATGCGGCAGCAGCAGCAGCAGCTCGTGGGGCAGTGCAGCAGCAGCAGCAGCTGTTGCTGCTGCTGCAGCAAACGGCAGCAAGGACGCCTCAGCGCGTGCTGCAGCCATAGCAGCAGCACAAAGGAGAGCAGCAGCAAATCAAGAACAAGAAAAGAAACAAAAAAGAAATAAAATAAATAAAATGAATGAAATAAAACAAAACATAAAGACTTACCTAGCAGCAGCAAACAGCGAAGAGACACCAGCAGCAGCAGCAAATTTGTGTCCGTCTCTAACACGGCGATGCACAGCATAGAGACGCGCCGCCGCAGCAGCTCGGCTTCCCCCTGCAGCAGCAGCAGCAGCAGCAGCAACAGCAGCAACACATAAATGCATTTGTTCGGGGACAAATGCAGCGCTGCCGGCCCAGCAGCAGCAGCAACGGCAGCAGAGGCTGCAGCAACAATGGCAGCAGCGCCAAAGCAGGCAGTTAATGCAACAAAAAGTAGCAGCAAGAGCAGCAGCATCAGAAGCAGCAGCAGCAAGAGCAGCAGCATCAGAAGCAGCAGCAGCAAGAGCAGCAGCATCAGAAGCAGCAGCAGCAATAGCAGCAGCGACAGTCGCACGAGTGCATCAGCAATGGTGGAAAACTGCGACTTCAACCGCTCCAGAAGTTTCTGCTGCTGCTGCTCCCGTGCTGCTTCTGCTTCTGCTGCTGCTGCAGTGCTGCGCTTCTGTCGTTTGTTGCTGGCCGCTTCTGCTGCTGTTGCTGCTGCTGCTGCTGCTGTGTCGATCTGTCCCTGGGGG